AAGTACTTACTAGCAGTTGTACAGAGGAAAAGGGATCTTCCTGCGTCTTTCCTCATGAATTAAAAATCCATCTGTTCCCTTTCTTTCCTTTCTTCCTCCTCTCCAATGCATGGACCAAGGAATATGTAGAGGCTCTGAGTCAGTGTTAGGACAAAGTATACAAGATGTTGCAGGCTCATAGCAACATCCAGCCCAGACATGCATAAGCAGTACCTTGGAAATTTGGCAGACTTGTCTCCCTCCCATCTTGCTTCCTGCCCTTGGGATTCAAGGGGGCGGGGAGGGGGTGCCTCCCCTTGGGAGGAGGACGGAAATTATGGAAGACAGGTTGTATATTAAGTTAGTTTTCCCACTAACAGAATTTCCAATCTTTTCTGGAATTCTTGACTGCCCCATCTTTGCATCACGCAAAGCTTTGAGTATTACACCAGCAAAAAAAGATAAAGATTTCCCCTGTCCAGTCGTGTCTGACTTTAGGGAGTGGTGCTCATCTCTCGTTTTTAGCCGAGAGAGCCAGTCTTGTCTGTAAAGATGATCAAATTTCTTTTGGCAGACTTTTTTTTTCTAGAGTAGATCAGAGTTCATTTCCACAGATGTCTGAAGGGTTAGCCTCAGTTAGTCAGTGGATCACACGTAAAGAATGGGCTGAGAATACGCGGAGGGAGATTCTATTGAGGACTTGGCATATGGTACATTTTGGTTCTTGGAGATGAGAGAATTCCAGAGCTTTCTGTTTTAACCTCCTTTGAAATTCTTTACATACACCTTATTATGGCATCCAGGTTAGGTAAAGTGTCTTTTTCTCCTCTTAAAGCAAGATGCAGCAGAGGATACGATGTGCTAAATTTAGCTTTGAATTTGGTCTGTAGATTTCTCTTAGTACTTAATTGCTGAGTGTTCTTTGGTGTATGGTCCCTATTAATATATGAAGTGTTTTATCTGTAGTAGATGAGCATAAATGTAACTTGGCACACTAAAGAGGTTTGGAAATACATGCAGACAGGGTTTCTGAGAAGACACATTCTTTAGTCGGGATCAGAAGATTTAGAATACTTGCCCAGAGTTCTTCATTATTATTATTGTTATTGTTACTGCCCAGAATCTTTTGAAACAGGGAAACATATTTAAATGATAATTATTATTATTATTATTATTATTTGCCTCTGTTTATATATTTTTTTAAAAATGGGTTTTTACCTTAGATTACCAGCAATTGTCAGAAGAGAGGAAACAGATAGCTGCTGTTATTTTTTGCTCACTTGTTAGTGGCTTTATAGTGATGACTATTTGTGCTATACAGAGCATTTGAAAAACAAGCTTTGCAGAGCATGGCAATGCAGTTGAGCAGTTTTATTTGCACCATTAGCACAGCTGCATCGTTACACAGTTTGTATCAAAAATTGTCTCTGATTGCGTATACATGCATAACTACTTCACTTGCCTGGGAGTCCCAGTGGAAAGGTTATTTGCACCTGGACACAGATGTGGAGACATCTGCTAAACCAGCATATGAAACTTTAAAAGGATGCAGGCGCTTAAAGGCTTCAAAAAGAGGTGGCTTTTGAAAGAGCTCTTTTGAATGTTTTGCACGACTTTAAGCATTTGTTTTTGTGTACATTAGGTATACAAAGTATACTTTGCATGAAAAAAAAAATGTGTCCCTCTGATAAAGGGACATAGTGCTGCCTTTGTGTCAATGCTGAACCAGGATTTTTAAGCCAGAGTCAACCCTATCAGTTGTAGTGATTTGACTTACAAATACTGAAATGTTAAAACTTAAAGCAAGGATGGACAACTATTTGGTAGCTGCAGGCCACATATTTCAGAGAAGTCTGAGACCCATAGTGGGTGGAGTCATTATGCAGATGGATAGCTTAAAAGATTTTTGTTTTTATCTTCTAGAGATTGGGGGAATAGTTAGAGCGTCCTAAAGTTTGTCTGAGACAATTTTAAGACCTATATTATAGTTCTCACATGTTTCTTGACTCAGAATGCTAGAAAACCACAGATTTTCAGCGCTTGTCAGAGATGGCTCTATAGTCCTCAAGTTAGAGTCATCCAGAAAGTTATGATGATACCCAAGCAGTTGAAGCCTCACTCTTTTTATATGTGAGTATATGACACATGTACCAAAGGGATTACATTTTGTGCTGTTGCAGACATCCTAACTTTTTTGACCCCTCCCACATTCCAGGCTCAAGCATCCCTCTTGTTACAGATTTCCCACTTTTGCTGCAAAAGGCAGTTTGCACTTCATGCTAACAAAAGCCAGGAGGCATGATGGTATGCATGTAACATCTAAGACTTACTTCTACTTCATGTTGTTGTTGTTAGTTGCGAAGTCGTGTCCAACCCATCACGACCCCATGGACAACGTTCCTCCAGGCCTTCCTGTCCTCTACCATCTTCTGGAGTCTATTTAAGCTCACGCCTACTGCTTCAGTGACTCCATCCAGCCACCTCATTCTCTGTCGTCCCCTTCTTCTCTTGCCCTCAATCTTTCCCAGCATTGGGCCCTTTTCCAGTGAGTCCTTCCTTCTCATTAGGTGGCCAAAGTATTTGAGTTTCAACTTCAGGATCTGGCCTTCTAAAGAGAAGTCAGGGTTAATCTCCTCTAGGACTGACCGGTTTGAGAGCCTTGCAGTCCAGGGGACTCGCAGGAGTCTTCTCCAGCACCATAGTTCAAAGGCCTCAATTCTTTGGCCTCAATTCTTCTACTTCATAAGGTTCCTCAATACCTTGATGCCTTTAAAGAGGGAAAGGGACAATGGAAAAAGTAGTGCTTGGGGAGTTTATTCAACACAGCTGCACTTCTATGTCTGGACAATAGACAATAGCTAACCTGTCATGTAATTAGTCTAGGATTTGTTTCAGGAAGTGGATGGGATATGCAGCGTGGGTAACTCATTTTCAAAGCATATTAAGTGGGTAGAATTGGATTGCTGGCTCTGTAATGTATATAATCTTTGGTTTTTCAACTGGCACATATTGCGAGTCAAAGGGGAGTTTGGTCCAGAACAAATAACAACCCCATCATTTGTGGAGGTTGCTCTGCCTGGGAGGCTCAACGCATCCTCTGCTATTTTAATATATTCCTTAAATATGGTATTAAAAAAACCAAATGCCTCATGATGTTAGTGGCTATATGTAGACACATATTCTAATAGTTCTGAAACTATAGTTAAGCATTATGTCTGAAGATATACTGACTCCAAGTGTCGGCCATAACCCATATAACACCGTAATTTGAAGTTGATTTGTAAATCATAATTGCACTGACCAAAATTAAGCAGCATATTTGAAATAACCCACACTTATGGCAACATCTTCTTTGCTTATACATTCCTAAAAAGATTTTGCTGGTGGTTTATTATATGAATGCTGCTGGATATAATTTATGATGTCTAGTTTAATGAAAAGAAGGACTAGGGGTGACATGATAGCAGTGTTCCAAAATCTAAGGGGTGCCGTCAAGAAGAGGGAGTCAACCTATTCTCCAAAGCACCTGAAGGCAGGACAAGAAGCAATGGATGGAAACTAATCCAGGAGAGAACCAACCTAGAACTAAGGAGAAAATTCCTGACAGAATAAATAATCATTGGAATGGCTTGCCTCCAAAAGTGTTGGACAACTATTTGTCTGAAATGGTATAGGATTTCCTGCCTGAGCAAGGGGGTTGGACTAAAAGACCTCCAAAGTCCCTTCCAACTCTGTTATTCTGTATTCTGTAATCCAGGGGTCTTCAAACTTGGCCCTTTTATGACTAGTGGACTTCAACTCCCAGAATTCCTCAGCCAGGCATGCCTGGCTGAGGAATTCTGGGAGTTGAAGTCCACAAGTCATAAAAGGGCCACGTTTGAAGACCCCTGCTGTAATCCCTGTCACCTTCCTCTTGTGATGTATAATCAGAGTTGGCTATATGCAAATCCCATTGATTTCACAGCATTTCGTTGTTCCTTTTTCTTCTTTGTCCTGCCTCAGGTTGTGAAAACAGCTCTTCTTGGAGGGCCATAAAACAGCAGTTGTCAGACATTTTGGTTTTAAGACACTTTACATTCTGAGGGATCCTTGGTGCTCTCTGAACTTGGTTCTTCCTTGCAGACATTTCATTACCCAAATTAGGTAACATCACCATGACTAGCACTGATGATGTTATCTAGTTTGGATAATGAACTATTTGTAAGAAAACAACCGAGTTCAGAGAGCTCCAAGGACCCCTCATTTCAACCTTGAGCTACAAATATTCTCCTTTATTGGTACATTTACATTCTTAAAATTAACTGAGGGTCCTAAAGACTTTTGTTTTATGTGACTTATATCTTTCAATATTTGTTGTATTAGACATTAAAATGGAGAAACGTTAAATCTATTTATTTCCTTGACTTTGTGACTTCCTGCAAGGGTATCAGGGAGCAGCAGAATGACTACTGTAGAGTCTACATAGAAGTAGTTGTTTTAGCTCTGCTTATTTTCCTCACAGAACCTCATTTGCTCAGAGATTGCAACTGATAGACCAAAATAAAATGTGTAGTAAGAAGCAGGGGAAGAAGTACACTATATATGTTTTGGAAGTATACTTTTCATTGATAGTTGTGCAGCTTTCCATGATTGCTTTCATTTTGAAGGAAGAGGTAGACAGGCTTAACTCTTCTACACAGAGAAAACTCCTAGATACAGTAATGCATTGTGGATTTACTAATGATGGACGAATGATACAGACATCGATAGAGCTCACGAAGCATTGTTTTAAAAGTCTTCCTTAAAAACAGAATTCCTAACCTGTATTTTGCTAAAAACATGAAATCTCTGCTTGATGAAATTAAGGATGTGATAGAAGGCAGCACATATGGTCTTATTATTCAGAATGGACCTTTCTGTGCCCTTCCCTCTGTTTAGCAGATAAAAGCTGAGTGGGTTTTTTATGCCAATAAGAAGATGTGAATGTAGATATGAATTCATCTGTGCCTATCTAGTAATCTTTTTTCTTTTCCTTTCTCTAGATTAATTATGTTTATGGAGTAAAAGAAGCAATTATTGATGAGCAAAATACTGGACCAGAAGACAGGCAGACTGGAACATATCAGCTGTTTGGGGGTCCCCTGGCTGAACTGGAAGCATGGAGGAGGGGATTAATGGAAAGATGAACCAGGCCCACGTCCTCTTTGACCGATTTGTCCAGGCTTCCACCTGCAAAGGGACTTTAAAAGCCTTTCAAGAGCTCTGTGATTATTTGGAGCTGAAGCCCAAGGATTATCGTACTTTCTACCACAAGCTCAAATCCAAGCTCAGTTATTGGAAAGCAAAAGCTCTTTGGGCCAAGTTGGATAAGAGGGGCTGCCACAAAGACTTTAGGAAGGGGAAAGTGTGCGCCAACACGAAGGTGAGCATGGAAAAATGGCTTACATTTCTTTGACTCCTACTTACAATAATATATTAATAATAATAAAGTTGGAAGGGACCTTGGAGGTCATCTAGTCCAACTCCCTGCTCGGGCAGGAAACCCTATACCATTTCAGACAAATGGCTGTCCAGTCTCTTCTTAAAAACTTCCAGTGTTGAAACATTCAAAGCTTCTGGAGGCAGGTTGTTCCACTGGTTAATTGTTCTAACTGTCAGGAAGTTTCTCCTTAGTTCTAGGTTGCTTCTCTCCTTGATTAGTTTCCATCCGTTGCTTCTTGTCCTGTCTTCAGGCGCCTTGGAAAATAGCTTGACTCCCTCTTCTTTGTGAAAGCCCCTGAGATATGAGAATGGTTTCCATACGCTATATATAGTTAATTATGTGTGGATGAACTAAAGCAACAAACTTTAGTTTCCCAAAGCATCGGTCCATGTTTTGCTAAGTTGAGCTGAATTACGTTCTTTGTAATGTTCAGATTAAATTGAAGCTTTGGAATCCCTTCTTAAAAAGGAAAGACCCCGATGGCTTATGCTTGCTTGTGCTGTTTGTTCATCTGGGTTTGTGTTCAATTAACAGCCTGAAATCAGCTGATACATGACTGCCTTCATTGGCAGTTACTCATGGTTTTGCTTGAGTAATGTACATGAATAGATGGTTTGTTCCCATTGCATCTATTATGCCACTTAAAATGATGGTTGGCTCCCCAAAGCCAGTGTTTGCTTAGAGCAGCGTTCCTCAGCTCAAGCAACTTTAAAATGGTTGGTCTTCAACTCCCAGAATTCCTCAGCTAGCATACTAATTGGGGAATTCTGGGTGTTGAGGTCCAACCATCTTTTAAGTTGCTAAGATGGAGAAGAACTGGTTTAGAGCAATGAACAAGTCAGCCCCCCATTTAATGTCCTGCAAATTTCTTTTTTCTTTTTAAGCTCATTACTAATTTCTGTTTTACTTCATTCCAGTCAAACAGTGAAAAATCTGTTTACGTTTCCAGGAAAAAAAAAAAACATTGGGGAGAAGATATTAGGCCACTTAGCAATACATTAGATAAGAAAATGTTTATTTTATTTTTTTTTAATTTTCTATTTGGATTTTGATCTTAACAAGGCTCTCTTGAATAAACAAGTAACCAGTTTTATATAAAATAGTATAAAGTTAAGTGATTCTCTGAAAGCGTCAGTTAAACTTAAATGCCTGACTTTCTTGATCTAGACTCCCACTTCTGTCAGCAAATCTAGTAACTTTTCTGGGTTCTGTCAAACAAAGTCATATTTAAACAATGATTCACTTGAGCATGTGGCCTGCCTTGTACCAGCGATGAGTAGAGAAATGGTCAGCAGCTGTGTCTGCTTCTATTCCTTATGCGCAGTTACGACAGGTTCCTAAGCTGTGTACAGTTCACTGTGTGCTTTGGGGGACCATCTGTGCATCGTTCTTCAGTATCCAACTTTTAGCCTTATGGTTTCTGTTCTGGCTGCCTGGTAGCTTAATGAGGCATATCCAAATATGTCTCCCTAAGTGAAATGAATCAAGGATCATGATCCTCCGAGAGGAAGACAGATGTTTTCTTCCCAAAAAAAATAGAAAGAGAAATGAAGAAGTTCTCTTACATCCTAATGATAAGAAGAGAAGTAGCTGTTGAAAACAAAGGAACGGGCAGGAGATAAAAGGGACGGTAAACACGACTGCTATGAAGCCCAGTGCCTTTGAAGATTAGGCTGAAAATTAACTGGAGGGGGTATTTTCCTGTGGTTTCCAGATTTTTTTCCCTATATTGTTTCTCTCCTGTGGCATTTTTTAATAGAATCGTAAAGTTTAATAGAATCATAAAGTCCGGCAAGGCTGTATACTGTTGCCCTGCCTATTTAACTTATATGCAGAGCACATCATGAGAAAGGCAGGGCTAGATGAATCAAAAGTTGGAATTAAGATTGCTGGGAGAAATATCAACAACCTAAGATATGCAGATGATACCACTCTAATGGCAGAAAGTGAAGAGGAACAAAAGAGCCTCTTGATGCGGGTGAAGAAGGAGAGTGCAAAAAGTTGGCTTGAAACTCAACATTAAGAAAACCAAAATCATGGCATCCGGTCCTCTCAATTCCTGGCAAATAGATGGGGAAGAAATGGAGGTAGTGACAGATTTTATTTTCCTGGGCTCCAAGATCACCTCAGATGGGGACTGCAGCTAAGAAATTAAAAGATGCTTGCTCCTGGGGAGGAAAGCTATGGCAAAGACATCACCCTGCCAACAAAAGTGCGTATAGTCAAGGCCATGGTTTTCCCAGTTGCAATGTATGGCTGTGAAAGCTGGACCATAAGAAAGGTTGAGCGCCAAAGAATTGAGATCTTTGAACTATGGTGCTGGAGAAGACTCCTGTGAGTCCCTTGGACTGCAAGGCGTTCAAACCGCTCAGTCCTAGAAGAGATCAACCCCGACTGCTCTTTAGAAGGCCAGATCCTGAAGTTGAAACTCAAATACTTTTGCCACCTAATGAGAAGGAAGGACTCACTGGAGAAGGGCCCAATGCTGGGAAAGATTGAGGGCAATAGAAGAAGGGGACGACAGAGAATGAGGTGTCTGGATGGAGTCACTGAAGCAGTAGGTGTGAGCTTAAATGGACTCCAGAAGATGGTAGAGGACAGGAAGGTCTGGAGGAACATTGTCCATGGGGTCGCGATGGGTCGGACATGAGTTCGCAATTAACAACAACAACATCAACAAAGTTGAAAGGGACCTTAGAAGTCTTCTAATCCAACCTCCATTGCATTCAGTTATGTTCTTCTTCTGGTCCTGGGGCAGTACACCCCTTTGACTTACCGCTCCCCTTTTTTTAACTGTTTTGCCTAAATTAGGGGTCTTTTATGGACTTCATCTCCCCAAATTCCTCAGCCAGCTGGCTGGGGAATTCTGGGCGTTGAAGTCCACAAGTCTTAAAGTTGCCAATTTTGGAGACCCCTGTGCTAAATGATGGAGGGAAGGGGGTTTGTGTCTGTGTCATGTGTTTCTGAAAATATTTTGGGTATGCAAGAAGGAATGGTCTGTGCAGATGGAGATCAGTTTATTTTGTAAATGTGGTGTCTTGATTTACAGACCATTAATTGCAATTGTACATCTGTCTTCTTCTTTTATGTCCCAGGTGGTCCTTGTTTGTTTATTTAAAGAACATGAGTTCTCTATGTATATTTGCACACATTTGGGGAGGGGGAATGGGAAAATCCCCAGGTCTGGTCTCAGATTAAAACTAGTAACCCAAGTTGATGCCCAAGATGTAGAAACTAGGCAAAACACAGGAGTTTTCTGCTTGTTTTTAATTCATTCTGATTTCTCTGTCTAATCTCCCTTCTATGGGATCATCTTAAATTTGGGACCATCCTTTTTTTTGAGCAAATGCAGTATTTGCTTTGTAACATTGAGCAACGGTTGGTCCCACCGCGTTTGTTTATATGTCCCAAAGGTGTTTTTTTCAAGAGGCAACTGGACTTTTTTGTTTTTCTTCGTAGACTTTCGCTTCCTCATCCAAAAAAACTTCTTCAGTTCTCTTGGATGAGAAGTGAAATGTCTTGAAAGAAAAACAAAGAAAGTCCAGTTGCCTCTTGAAAAAAGCACCTTTGGGACAACCATGACCTAGATGATTGAGAATCAATCTCCACAGACATTTGCTTATATGTCAGATGCCTTTGTTGTTTTGGGATAAATATCTCCCAGCAATTTTGCTTCATTCTAGTAATACCAAGAGGCAAATGAGGATAAAAGAGCAAAAGGGAGAGTTTGAGGTTCACATCTGTAATGTGGTCTGCATATCCAGCAGAAAGAGGGTTCTAATATATTGTTATTATATATTGAATATATATATAATATATTGAATATATTGTTGTTATAAGTAATCCACGACTTAGGACCACAGTTGAACCCTAAATTTCCGTTGCTAAGCAAGACTTCTGTTAAATGAATTTTGCCCCATTTTGCGACCTTTCTTGCCATAGTTTGTTCAGTGAATCACTGAAGTTGTTAAGTTAGCAACATAATTGTTAACTGAATCTGGCTTCCCTATTGACTTTTCTTGTCGGAAGGTCACAAAAGGTGATCCTGGCGTAAGATTCATATATGGCTGGAAAAGATAACTAAAATACATATAGAATTTAGGCCAGAATTGTTTCTGCTAGCAATACTAGGATCTAATTATGGGAAAGAGAACGAATATTTAATATTACATATATTGACAGCTGCGAGAATAGCATTTGCCCAATACTGGAAAAATGAAGATATACCACCCGATGAGATTAAAATTAGGAAAATTTTAGAATGTGCAGAAATGGATAGATTAACGTTAGAGATTAAAGAGAAAGAAGACTCAGTTTATTATAAAACATGGGAAAACTTTTATCAATGGTTAGCGATGCCCAACGATGCCCTTGACGTGATGGCCCGCTGCCTGGAGGCCGTACGGGTCTGGATGGGGAGGAACAGACTCAGACTCAACCCTTCCAAGACCGAGTGGCTGTGGTTGCCGGCGCCCCGGCATAGTCAGCTGATTCCATCGCTGTCTATAGGGGGCGAAACTTTGGCCCCCTCAGAGAGGGCACGCAACTTGGGTGTCC